TGTGACGGCTCTACGAGAACTTCTCCCCAGCAGAGAAGATTGCCTCTCCCTCCTGCAGCTTCCCCTTTCGTTGCCGGCATGCGAAGTGAAGATCAGCCCTCAGACTTCGGCGCGCGCGTGGTAGACTTTGCCGATCGTGCACTCATGCTGAGACACTGCACGCCCAGTGAGGCTTTCCGGGTGTGCCTCACACCCATTTTGGCAGTATCCATTGCCCTTACGGCTGCCCGAGGGTCGGGTTTTTGATCTTTCGTGGTATGAGTTGGCGCGGCCGGAGATATGGTGGTGGTTGCTTTTGCACGAGCTGGATGGACTCCGTTTCTCGCTTCCTAATGCCAAAGCGGGTATCAAGTCACCTGTCTGCGACGGTAGCCTCATCCAAATGTCTCTCGCACCTCGGAGAGATCCCGCCGAGGCCGGCAAACGCCACCGTGACACCGGCTCCAACACCCGGCGACCCGCGGCTGCAGGCGGAACGCACACAGATCCGCAGCAAGGCACTCCACTTCTCCATTGTGGTGTGTTGCTCCCTGTGCAGCTCGTGGTTTATTTAGCCAGGGCCCTGACCGACGAGCCTGAGGCGGCTCCCCTCTTGCAGCTTGTACGTGTTGCACCGGTCGAGCACAATGGCCTGCAGTTTGTTGAGCTCCGCGTCAAGGCGGAGGTCCCGACCTCTCTGGTTGGCCAGCCCCAAATCGCGATCGCTGCCCGCATGATGGAAGGCTTTCATCGTGGACTTCTCCCTGCAAGGCGCGGCGATTTCGATCCACAGATGTTCTCCTACCCTGGCCTCTGTAAAGGCACGTTTCGTCTCCTGCTTCCCCTCGATGATGCCTCCCTGGGATTGCGGGCGCAGCCCGCTCTTCCCCTCCAGTCTGCTGGACTTTTGCACGCCGCATTGTGTCGTCTCCGCACGGCTGCCATCACCCGGGGTTGGGAGCTCAGTGCCGTTGTTGTGTTTTGGTTACGCGGCCCTCGGAAAATGGACTTCTACTTCCCTGTACGCCTGTGGCGCTATGCCCACTTCGATGCATGGGACTGTCGGGCCCAAGTCCTGATCCATCGCTTAGTGGCACAGGAATCCAATCAGGATAATCAGGGTGTTCTGCCCGACGGTAACCAACCTCGATATCGTCTCGGGCACACGTGGGGACAAGACGAGTGGCGTGCAGCGGCCCATGCTTTCATCGAACAGGGTGGACTTGGCCCTGGCATCCAGCTCCCTTTCATTTCCAATGAGCTTATGCCGCATCTTCATGAGCCGGACCTCGACACCCTCCAGTACGGCTTCCACCGCCTCAAAGCCTTGTATGAGGAGGGCCAGTTTCAATTGCTGTACCTTCTGCGAGAATCCCACTTTCCACGAAGTGGCAACGACATGCAGCGCATACTCGATCAATGGCCCCCTGCCTAGGAGCGAGGCCCTTTCAGAGCTTGGACTCATTGGCTGGCCACAGTGTCCAACCTTTCGACATACGTCGACGGGTCTTCCATTGCCGCTGGCCTTGGGCTTCTGGACTTGTGGATTTTTCGTGCACGATCGGGACACAACAGGACCTCGGGGCCGACCGTTGTTCGACGGAACTAGAACGGCGGCCGGAGCCTTGACTTGGGCTCCACTGACGGTCTTGGGCAACTTTGGGCGACGGCCCACTGTTGTTGTGGAACGATCGCTGAGGACCCGTAGCAGGTGCTGAACGGCAAACCCCGGCAAAGCCTGGGCGCCGCAGCTAGTTCCGCCCTCTCTAAAAAAATTATCATGTTTCACCGCTGTTTTCTTTGTTTGTTGGTTTATTAGTTTGTAGGGACCGAGTGCTACAGCCGTAGCCGACGAGGCCCGCATACGCCAAAAAAAATCAACCTGGGTTTGATTTTGAGCTGGATTAAACCTGGATGCGAATTTTTTCCCTCAAAAAGCGAAAGAAAGTTGAAGCACGTTCCCTTCAAAGTTTAGAAGCACCGTACGGCAGAGATTTGACCACATTCTTGCATACCAGGGGGTTGCTTCCAAGGAGGTGGAACCGCGCTCCGATCGCTGCGTGAGCGTGAACCTCATGGCTTTTCTCAGAACTCGGAGCGTCCACTCGCGCCATCCGGCACATACGACCCGTTGGATCTTCGGCCTACATCTTGAATATTCAGCTGGCATACAGCTTCCCAGGTTGTTTTGTTGAACTGTTTTCAACCAGTACGTACAAACAGAGTCTTTTCTGCGAAGTTGCTGGAAAGTGCAGTGCGGAGCAAGGTATTGCTCATTTTGGGCGTAAGCGGCCTTGTCGACTGCGGCTGTCCCACAAACAGGACAAACAAACAACCAAAAACAGTGGTGAAACAGGGCGGCTCGAAGCGAGGCATTGCTCGCTGAAAGGATGTGTGCATGAACAAAGAGACAGAAGCGTCGCTCTTTGTTCATTTCAGCATGGCGTACTATGCATCCTGGATTATTGGAGCCACTCCAATACGGCATTTGCAGTGTTACGCAATGTGGAGGCTCGCTGTGCCAAGGTGATCTCAACCTTTTCAGCAAGGCAGTGCTGAAGGAAGTCTGTGGAGTCGTGAAATCGCAAGGTGTCGACGTTTGCTGTTTACAATGTTCCTGTCAGAAATATTGGAGACAGATGCTCCAGCAATGCCGCCCGACAGGGTTTGAAAACAAAGCTGGCCAGACAAGGTTTTGCAACAGAGAGCGGGGAGGGCCCTGCGACAACACGGGGATTTTGACCCACAGCCATTTGACTCTCGCACAGTACAATTTGTGAACTATTCTGATTGAGAGATGTCTCCATGTCTCTTTGTGCAAACAGAAACATGGCAGTTAAGAGCAAACAATGGCTCAGAAAGAGAAAGCTATTCTTCGTTACAAGAGTATCGTCATGTCAGACATCGTCACATCATATCATCCCAAGCACCTCTGAGATGACACACCATTGACCACACCTTCGCAAACAAACAGATATGAACAGACGAAGATATGAGAATCAAGTTAGTTGAACGTTTGACGTTTTGCTTATATGAAAAAACTACGCGAGTAAATGAATATCCCTGCATATGAACAAGTCAGTGCGTAAATGTCTTGTAACTTACATTTTTCATGAAAAACCGAACGTTTCAATATTATTTTGGAATTTAGGAATGTTTGAAATTGCGGTTATGAAGGTAAGATTAATTACCAGAATATTTGAGGTGTGACTTCATGAGCATGTGCATGCAGGAGTATCGGAGTATATAAAATTGGGAGTCTACGCGTTGTTAAACCCATGAGCCGATGATTGATTGATTGAACGCGTTGACGCGTGAGTTTATTGCTATATGAAGATGTGTATAGTATTGTATGGAGGATGTAGGCTATGACATAGAAAAGCGTTGCACGGCTTCTTGCTTACGCACAGAGAAAGGTGTCATGCAAGCACTACCGGTTTGATGTATTGCTTTTTTGCTGCGTGTCAATGGCCTGCTCAGAAGCATGCAACGTATCAAAAGGTCATGCGTAGCGATGCCGACATTTGGTGCCTAAAACGCAGCAACTTGGCTCCAGCCCGTGTGCTGCTGGAAAAACCGGCGGTTGAGACCTCAGCACTTCCCGGAACACTGCTGCAGGAACAATTACGTGGAAATGCCCTTTGAATAATGCGACCAGTTGCAAGAATTGCTGTTGTAGATTTGCATGTTCGTTCCCGATTTCTGTTTCACATGCCTATCAGTGTCAAGGTGGGAAGTTCTTTTGCCCCCCCTGTGCCAGGTACGCGGAGGCCCCGCTTAATGCAGAGGCCTCTTTGACAGCTTCTGTGGTGGTTTTGAAATTCAGTGATTCGAGGTGGACGGCTGACGGCTTGTTGTTTGTTTCGAGCCGATTCTCGGGAGAAAGCTGAACGGTTTCTTATGTAGTGGTGATGTTGCATGTTGCGTTTGGTGCCCGCGGCGAGCCTCATCTGGGAGGTAGTCCTGGCCGAGTCTGGTTGGAACAATGTTCTCTCCACCAGTGGTCGCGCACTCAAAGCCGTCTCAAACAGCGTATGCCATCCAAGCCAAAAGCCTGGACCAGTTTGGTTTGGCTGGCATGGCCCTCTGTCGGCACCACGGAAAATGGCACAGTAACCTGCCCCAGCGACACCACCCTGGCTGACTTGTCAAGCATGCTGCTTTGGTTCAAGCCGCTCTTTTCCTGTGTTTGCTGTTTCTACCTGAGTCTACCTCTGAGGCGTGGAGCAAAGACGATTGGGAGCAGGCAAGATGGGAGGCCCCGGCGGGCGGGGAGCTTGTCGGAGGTTGAGGTATGCAGTATGCATCATATATATATATATATATGTATCATGTCTTATATACTACCCTAAACCCTAAACCCCAAACCCATTTGTATATCAAGTATCGTATGTAGCATACTGTATACTGTAAATCTGTCCCAGGGTGAGGCGCTCCTCCGACAGGGGAAGGCTCGCACCTGGCGCCCGAGCCCGAAAGGAACGTAGTCAGTTAGGGTTGAGTTTTTTGCGGTTTAGACTTTAGAGAAAGTTGCGGTTCATTTTTTCGGGGTTTAGGGTAGAGTTTTTTGTTTGAGAGGATGGCAGAACTTTTTGAGTGCACACTATTTAGGGTTTAGGGTCCAGGGTTTAGGAAAGGTGAGAGGCACTGCGCGTTGACCGCTCCCGAGGTCCCCGGGAAGTCTTCGACTGCCTTTTCTGGCCGCTTCTGCTTTTCGGTGCCTCAGTCTGCAGCGAGTACCCTTACAGTAACCCTTGCAGAAATCCTTAAAGGAACCCTTAGTGAGGAACCCTTACAGTAGCCCTTCTTCGCAGTGAAAGTAATCCTTATAGTAACCCTTCAAGGAACCCTAGTGCCGGAGACCCTCGCGCGTCCGTTGCTCCAGACTCCGGATGGCTCACCTCAGCAGATGACGGCATGATGTAGCCGAGTGCTCATGGTCGTGTTTCCAGGGCGGTTCCCTGTCCACAGCCCCAGTTTCCAGGGAAGCATTGAAAGACACTGTCCTCCCGCAGTGATCCATGGCTGCAGCTGCGAGACGAGCTCGCTCAGGTCGCAGAGAAGCCCACAGCCTGCCCTCGAGTTGCGAAGCCCAAGCTCCGAAGTCCAAGAACCAGATCTAAGAATCGCGTGAGGGTTACTGTGGCAAGGCCCCTTTTTCAGAACGATCAGCTCCTTCCCAAACCTGCAGAGCAATTGATGCCAGGCGTCTGCCTGCTAGCACTGGCGGTGCCTCTGCTGGGTAGCTGCCTCTCTCGCACCTTTGCCCAGGCAAGGCATCTGCCGGTGACCAACCGGAGGTCCATTTGTTGAATAACCTACTGAGTGCATGGAAAGCGGGACCGGTGCGTCTCTGTGGGAAATACTCGCCCCCATCCTCAATCTCAACTCCACTCCTGTATGACCCTAAAGCCTTCAGTCCCAAAGCCCTAAATCCCAAATCCCAAAGTCGTAAGCCTCAAGCCCAAGCCCGGTGGGCGCTACATGGGAGTTTCCGCAAATAGGGGACCCTTTTTCTGGTACCCTGCATAGTAGGATCCTTCTTATAAGGACCCCTCCAAAAAAACAGGAACCCCCTAATTTTCGGAAACTCCCACAACTCAAAACCCTAAACCCTTTATAGAATCCTTACAAGAGCCTTTGAAGGAACCCTTACGGGATCCCTTTAAGGGCCCCCCCTTTATCCCAGCCAGCCAGCATCACCTCGGAGGCGCCCCTTGCGCGGCCTCCTGGTGCCCTGAGAGCTTCAGGAGACTCGGAGGCGGGATCTTATTTTAAAGGGTACGATGCCGTTCTATACCACGGTATATAAATCCTGCATTTCCTTAAGGACCCTAAACTATGGGAATCATGGTATATTCCTTTTTATGGGTCATGCAGGTTCTATATCATCAACCGTAGGGTCCACTTGAAGGGTACTGTCAATTAAAGTACTATTAGGTTCTATGGGAGGGTGGCCAACATGGTTTAGAGAGGTTGGGGTTGAGGATGTTGAGGGTGCGATGGCTCTTGGTGTTTGTTATTCATTGTGACTTAGACTAGATTCCAGAATGAGGGGCCTTCTCTGTGCATTCTAGGGTCCTGTGTTTAAGGTTTTGAAATTTTGGATCAGAACTTGAGATTTCCGCTTCGGGGGGTCAGTTTGACTTGCGGTTTGTTTGAAGACATTTTTGGTCCTACCCACCCATCCCAAAAGTCAATCCCGACCGAAAGTCCTGCTAGCCGTCAGGCTACTTGATAACAGCTCTACATCACGCCTTCCCTCAGTGACTCAGCCTTAAACCCTAAACCCTAAACCTAAATCCGAAACCCCCAAACCCTAAGCCCCTAAACCCCTAAACCCTACACCTCTACACCCTAAACCCTACACCCTCAACCCGAAACCTTAAACCCCAAAGACTCAGGCCGAGTCGGTGCGCTTGCGGCCCGTCGTCCTTTGCCCCGCGCAGTTTGGCACAGCAGAGGCTCCCCCGGCCCGGGCTCCGCTCAAAGGGGGGAAGGGTTCTTCGTGGGTTTAGGGTTCAGGGTTTGGGGGTTCAGGGTTTAAAGGGGTTCAGGGTTTAAGGCTTAAGGTTTGGGGTTGTTCCTTTATGGATGGTTTTGAAGTTTTGGGGGATAGTATACTATCACCATAGTAAGGAACTCCCAAAACCCTGTTCCAATTATGGAGGCCCCTACCTTGTTGAAGTGGCATAAAAGCAAAACACTGGTGAGGTGGAACGAACCGACATGGGATCGTGGAATATCGTGGATCCTCTAACGACTGGATGCGTCTTATGAGCTGTTTCGGGGTTGGGTGTCTTTTTCTTTGCGCTGGAGCACCCGAAACCATAACACCTAAGCCCTAAACCGCAAGAGCATTTTCCAGTGCGCGGTGCGTGGGAGTTTAGGGTTTAGGGCAAAAACATGTCGTTGCGAACTTAGAAGCCTGGATCCCGATGGCGTTCCATGAATGTTGATTCTATTCTACTGAATGTACCACCAGTACTCTCGGCAGAGTGAGAACTGCAAAAACAGTTTAGCCAGTCGTTACCACCATTCCGTGGTATTGAGACCGACATCTGCATGTCTGATAGCAGGATGAAGGAAGAGTGACAAGCCCGGTTGGAAGTCCCATGACGATAATGAGGACTACGAGGACCTGAAGGAGAGCTTGAAAGCTCGTGGACCCCCGGCTGCACGGATGATTCGAGCTTTTTGGATTTCGAGGTCTAGCTTTTGAGGCTTTGGGTCTGGGGTTTGGGAGTTTCATGTGCATGTATAGGCTAAGGTGTATCAGTGTCTCGGTTGACAGCAGTCGGCTATCAAAGCTGGACTCAGGCTCCGATTTTGGTGTGCAATGTTTGTTGGATGCAGCAAGCATGGAGCGTCTAAGTCAGGCTTTCAAGTACGGCTCGCAAGGTGATATGGTTGATCTTCAATACTCCTATCGTTGTAAGTACGGTCATCGAAGTTTCATTGCTCTGGTGCAAGCTCTGTAGTTGTTACGTGTGATACTACCGTTCAAAATGTGTCATCACCGTTTCCTCTGACAGCTGTTGTCGATGTTGTTGTTTCATGTTGTGCCCATGATAATGATATTGGCGACGGCGACAGAGATGATCATGAAGATGCCAAGGTGATACTGATGGGAATGGTGACTTTGTGGAGCTTGATTGTCCTTAATGGTCTAGTGTAGTTGTGTGTACCGACGCAGTTGCATTTCCCCTCTTCTGTCGAACTCACCGGTTTAGACCGATGTTCATCTGCCATGGCTCGAATGCCCCTGTGCAGGTTTCGCGCTGTATCCTGCTCCGCTTTCCAGATTCGACTGGCTGAAGATAGTCCCCAGCACTTTCACCAAGGACGGGCTCGTGGGTTGCACGTTTGGAGTGTGGGGGGCCCTAAGCCTGAAGGCCCAACGTGCCCGCAACTTGCATGTGATCTAAGGCCCGTAGCAGAGATTTTGTAATCTTCCACCCCTCACCATAAGCCCTGGAGCCAGGTACCCCAAGGTGCAAGGGTGCGACTCTAGGCTTGACCCCATGATTCTTCTGGTTTCTGTTCCGGGCATCATGGACGCCTAGTGGTAGCAACACTTGTAGGAACGCGAACTTACATCAGCTGAACAAGAATGGTAGCATTGCCGAAGCCTTCGGCCTTATCGTTTTGGCTCGGACTCTTAAATGCTAAGGTCTGACATGTTACCGTCTTGAAGGTAGGTTCTATCCGGAGCACAGTCTCCACGGATGCTTGACCTGTGCTGCTGCACATAGACCTGCAGTATGCGGATGTAGGCAGTCATCCGCAAGTCGAAACATGCCACAGCTGACAGCCCAAACGGAGATTGGAGATTGCTTCTCTAAAGCAGCTGAAACTTCATTCAGAAAGAATGGCATCGACAAGGTTCGGAAAGAAGCCGTCAGAACCCAGGAGTTCTTCACAGCAGAGCTGCGGCCGAACCGGACATTGGGATTCTTCTACGAGGCCCTTGACGAGGTGCGGCTTCTGCGGGTTGTTGGTTCTCCCTGTCGTCTCATTGGCCCCTGCCTTAGGTTTTCTGGTCAGTTGCCTGTTCTCATACTGTCCAGTGGTATGAGGTATGCGGGTGACTCAAGCTTGGGTCCTTCTCGTAGCGGTCTTTACATCTAGTTGTTCTACTGAAGACAGCGAAGGGTTTTAGCGCGCCGTTGGCGCAATGAAGACGAAGCGGACAGGACAGTTTGGCAGTGGTAGTTACAGTAGCACCAGAAGTAGCTGGTGGTAGTACGTAGTAGCAGCAGCGGCATCAGTAGTAGCAGCAGATGCAGGCTCAAGGTCATGTCCAAGGAGCATGTGCTAGGTTCTACGACCCTAGGATAAGCTTGCCTTAGGCAACATAAGATGTTCCGCACTCTAAACTCTAAGCAGTCTGCTCCCACGACCGGCCACTCTTGGAAAGAATGCCATTTGCCAGGCCATCGCATCGGTGAATGCTGACTTCGGTCCGGAGGTGCTTCTTACTTCCCAGAGAGCATTGCGGGGCGAAGCCTAGAAGCCACTGAGCCCGATGAACCGTGAGCCCTCACCGCGCTCCCACAGATAGAACTGATGCCAGAACTGTCAGGAGCCAATCGCTTTCCTGGGCCACTCTATTGGAGGCCAAGGATGTGTTTTCAATGTCCTTCATCCCTAAACTCCTAAATGCCTAAATGCCCAAACCCTTAACCCTCAACCCCTAACCCAAAACCCCTAAACCCTAAACCCTAAACCCTCAACCCCTAACCCTAAACCCCTAAACCCTAAACCGTTCTTCTTGGCTTCTTGGCACCAGGCTGGGTGGCTCGGTCTTACATCGGCGAAGTGCCTCGGCAGTGTCATGCGGGAAACATAAGAAGCTGATGCACCGCGTGAGGTCTCACTTGGCCGACGTAGCAGGAGCAAGAATCCTTCAAAAGAGAATGGAGAAGGACGGCGTTGGTGTGAAGCAGATAAACGTTGGTGCTTGTGAAAATGAAGAGCAGGCACAACAAGTATTCAGATGGATTGTGTTCGGACTCTGCTGACACCTGAGACACAGTAAGTCTTATCGGCACTGTGCACCAGCTTGCATGCTGACACGAAGTTGCAGACTTGTTTCTTGCTGGATTAAGCTCACACAACCAATCTACACTGTCTTATCTGAGACGCGGCGGTGCTATCAGCAACACAAGAGTCGCAGATTCTCTGGTAAGTGTCGGTTGCAGGTGCTCGGCGAGGAAGTTGCCCGAAAGCGCGTTCGGTCTCTTGTCACGCCGCATTCCCAGAAGTGCTCGCCAGTTTCTTTGCCTGGGCCAGATAGGTCCGGTGTCATTACGTCATTGCGGTTGCGTGGTGCGGCTGCGCATGCAGGTGTAGCAACTGGAGCTAGTTGTGATGGAAGGCTGGGCACTCCCCACCAGTCGCCACCAGAAGACTCCTTCGTCTCTGCTCTGGATCAAACCCGTAACTTGGCATAGCAAGTTCTGTTCACGGACCAGTTCGTCCTCAAGAGATTTCTTGTGTGCATGCTGCGATTGCTCCACTGTAGAAGTGCTGGGCTTGTGAGAACGTCATGGAGCTACAGCTTGCTTTTTTTTCACATGCTGAGGTGGCCTGCTGAGCTACATTAATGACAAGTTCCCGGCAGGCTTGCTTCGAGAGAGAGAGAGAGAGAGACAAAGAATGCTGGCGGGACAAGGAACACGGCTGCGCATGTGCTCGAGGGGCTTACACACTACGGGAAGAGGGCCCTACGTCTGCCAGCAAAAAAAAAGCAAGACAAAGAAAGAGACAGAGAGAAAAGGCGAAATCGTGTCATTCTGTTTCACGTTACAGGGGGCTCTTCCTTTCGAGTATGGATCTGATGGCCAGTCGCCTTCAGGTGCGCCTTTGCCTCCGACCGTGGTAACTTGCGTAGCGGGGCGCGGAACGCGTGTTCCCGCTTCGGTGCAAGCGCTGTGGGAGACTGCAGGCGCCGTTACAAGACTCGGTAAGCTCCCAGAGAACCCAATACCCTTAATTAAGGAATATACCTTAAACCATAATTTTAAGGCCCCTAGAATTTAAGGCATATCCCTGAATGAAGGGATATTGGGATCTCTGAAAGACTTGGGAAGCTCTGACAGGGTTGAGGGGAAGATGTACAGCAAGCAAGGCACCAAAATTTGGAACGAGACCGTCAGCCGCAGCGCACTGCTGGAGGAGGCCCGGACAAAGTGCGCACTTCTCAGAGAGTTGGCCTTGTTTAGTCGCAGAGGTGGTGGCCTTCGCCTCCTACCTTCCGCTGTCCGGTAGCACCTTCGGCGTCGAGGGAGACGGCCTCATCCCTGTAGACACAGCCCTCATGGAAGGCATGGCTCAGGGGCCCCTGCATCTGTCTCCTTTAAAGAGTTTACTGTGTCTGGAAGTGCAGGCTGTCAGAGCGTTGCCACTCGGCATCTTCATGTATGCAGCAGGATTCAGCAGGATAATGCGTGTCTGAGATGTAGTTAGTGGAGGTGCCTCTTGCGTTCATGAGCACCCGAGGTGTTGGATGACTGCAACCACGCAGCTTGTCACGAAGCATCCTGCTCCCAGCTGTCCTGCTCCTGTAGTGATAGGTAGTATTATTAGTATTAGTATGAGTATTAGTGGAGTATTAGTATGAGTATCAGTATTAGCATTAGCATTAGTATTTCGCATTAGCACTTGTTTTAGTAATGGTAATGCTAATGGTAACGGTTATCGTAATAGTCATAGTAATAGCAATAGTAATAAAAGTACTATTACTGCGGATGCATGGACGATCCTTGCAGGCAGACTTCGTTCCCATGGTTGGTGAAAGCTTGCGGCTTCCCAAGCCGGCCGCCTAATGGCTGCTTTCTGGGTGCTTTGGTGTCGCAAGATCTAGCGTAGCGTCAGGTCGTACCGGTGGTACGGCGACTTCATCGAGGACTGGATTGAGTTTCTTTAGAAATTTTCCCTGAGGTCGGCGCAAGCGTTTCACAATGATAAGGCAGAGACCCAACCCTTGCTAACTAACTTAAGCACCGTGTAGCCACTGTCTTGCTCTGGCCTCCTGTTAGTGCCACACGGGGCGCGAGGAGCTGCATGAAACATGGGCTGCCTCGCCCTGATTCTGTCTGCCTGAAATTTTCCAACCCACAGGCATTTTTCAGTCCAAGCGAGACGACTCCCACGGAAAGTTCGTGCATTGCTTTGCTCGGCAAGTCCACGGAGACTGTGATTTTTGTTCCCTGTCGAGTGTCCAGAGGCCCCAACTCTCAGAACCCTAAGCCCAAAACCCAAAACCCTAAGCAAGCCCCAAACCGAAAGCCCTAGGCCCTAGGCCCTCAATCGGCTGTCTTCGCTGCCGGCAAGATGCCTCCGAGGCTACGTCTACTATTGGAGCTTCGGCAGCTGGAGGTGCCATCTTCAGGGGTTCTTATCATAAGGATCCTTCTCGCGGTTTGGATTCGGGATTCTTTCTTGCTTGGAACTCCCAGAAATGTCATGCTGCCAGTGGATTGTGCCAGAGTCGTGTACCATGTTATGTTGTGCTTTGCCGTGTGATGCGCAGACGTCCGGGGGCTGAACTGGCAAGGGATGTGACTGACCCCTTTATCAATGCACGCTACGTCCGTAGAGCCCATTAACCGGAGGCCACAACCCTAAGCCCGAAACCCTAAACAGATAAGAGTGCAACCTGCTCCGCAAGCCACAACTTGGAGGGAAAACCGAAAAGAGCCGACATGCCAACAGCTTCGTGGAATAGTGCAACATGTTAGAATGATATGAAATCGCAGTCTCTACTATAAACCCTCATATACTCCTATATACTAGCATAATACTGCTGCATAAAGATTCTGCTCCCCTCCAGGTTCTACAGCTGGAAGCTAGCGGCGACTTTCGGTGCCCTCATGGCCGTCGCTCTCTGCGCGCACATGACCTGGGCGTGGGACTTATGGAACTTCGTGGTACTGTTGATGGTGATGGACAAAATCCTGCATGACCCAAAGGACTCTAAACTATGGGAACTATGGTATATTCCTTATAATGGGTAACGCACGATTTTGTCCATCAACAGTAGCACAGGTGTGTCCACAAATATCAATACATAACTAGCAATAAAAGTATATAGCATGCACATATGTGTATATATATATATATATAAACAGAATATTATGTTATACTTTAGAAATTTTATATAATTTGTTATGCATTCTTTGCCGTATATGAATGTAGTACAGATTGCATGTAATGTGCGACACATCTTGTATACACTTTTGTTGTATGTTGCGCATATTGTATACATTGTATATGCTGTATATATTGTATGGAACTGTAGATATTGTATCTACTGTACATATTGTACATGTTCTATTCATTTTACATTGTATATAGTGTATACATTAGACAAGCAATAAACAATATATACTGTATTACTATCTGTGTAGTGTTATTACAGATTATGTACTATGTAACATATGTTTCATCATCATCATATATATATATATATATATATATATATGTTACATCTGCGCAGCGTGTAGAGGCATGTGTGTACGTAGATAGGTATTTGCACATATACACCTGCCAGTGCTGTGTGTGCACATGTGTTTGTAAGAAAACATATATGGACGAAGTATACACAAGTCTGATCCACAGAGTACTCGATGCGTCCTTTGCATGTTTCCCCCTCTCGCTGTGTACGAACATAAACATATACAAGAAGCAAGTAGAGGAACACATAGATTCCGTGCCTGTTTGTATGAATCTATGTATGTATGTATGCATATATATATATATATATGTATGTATACAGAGAGAGAGAGAGAGAGAGAGAGAGAGAGAGAGAGAGAGATAGAGAGAGAGAGAGAGAGAGCGAGAGAGCTAGAGAGAGAGAGAGAGAGAGAGAGAGAGACAGAGAGAGATAGACGGATGGATGGATGGATGGATGGATGGATAAATGGATAGATAGATAGATAGGTAGATATATCTATGTATATATAGATAGATATGTAGAACATACCCATGCAGAGAGAGAGAGAGAGAGGCTCAAGCTGACACAGTTAGAGTTAGGGGGGCTGACACAGAAATGCAAAGGAGATGCGCATGCCCGAAAGTCCCTCAGGTCGTCTCTTGCCCGGGTACTAGCGTGTGAAGCCTATGCATGCTGTAATGCCTCTGGCAGAACAATACCTTCAATGGCTCAGAAAACGGGACTTCCAGAGCATTCCATTATCGGAAGGAGATTTCTCATTGACCCGACTTTCCTGAGATGGGCAAGTGGGAAGCTTGAATCGATCGGAGTCCGCCTTATTGAATTGAAGGAATTGAAAGAAAGCGGTGCCGAGGACCGGTACCTCTCCGTCTCGCTTCAACTCCCCGATCAGGAGGTCAATGCGGCATGGCAGCCTTTGGTGGCTCGCCAGACGTGGACCGCAACCAAGAAGTTTCCTCTCGAACGATTCCCCGATCTTCGACTGAGGCTGGATGATACGCAGTTGGCGAAACTCGCCTTCGTGCGTCAGGCCGCATTCAGGCCTGCCCCCGACCCAGCTCAGTGGGCGCCAGGAGTGTGGCAACAGAATTTCGGACTCGCGGAGCCGCTTTTGACGGTTGCCCAATGGAATCTTGGCCGCATTGCTCGTCCGCCTCGAGTGCAGGCAGTGTGGACGCAGCCAACAACCCAGATGTCGTCGTATCCGTGTGTGTGGAATGCGATGCCGATCAATGGGATCTGGCGTATCGAGATGAGCTACCAGACCGTCGGTCAGGGACCGTCAGTCGCAGCTCTGATCTCGCAGCCAGCGCTTGCGTAGTGAAGCCATGCAAGGAAAAGCATGAGAGTTTTCGGAACAAAGTTCCAACTTATGCGGAGCACCAGGCCACTCAGGAAGCGGACTCAGAAGAAGATGTAGAGACCGTCGTGGTGAAGTTTAACAACGACACAGGGGCGTCAGCAACGCAGCCCCAGCCGGAGACGGGGCGGGAACAGAGCAACCACAGCAGTGACTATTCGGAGGGTGGCACCTACTACGAACGCCCGGAAGAGATCTCACTGTACGGATGTCATGGTGACCATGTCGGTCACCCCACGGCTGAAGATGAAGCCCAGGCGGAACGTGAAGAAGACGAGGGTGAAGCCAGAGAAGAGTACCAGCTACCAACGGCACGACGCAGAGTCACCAGCAGCCCGACGGACAGACCTACACCCCACAGCTCTCCTGACAAGAGTGACTGAGCCTGAGCGGAGCGCCCCCAGATCCTGTGATGCAAGGCACACGTACTTCTGTTACAAGCCGGGGGGGCGCAACGCAACGTAGGACGGACAGGCCCCTTGCTGTGTGACTCACACCGTACTGTCACGTATGTGCCTTCGCTGTTTTGATTCTTCACCGGGGCGTAGCAGACCGAAGCCAATAGGTATAAGTCGAGTCCTACGGAGCCTTTGTACTGTGATCTGCACCTGCATATCTTACAAGCTGTGTGGATAGGGGAATGAAGGACAACCAAGGCTGAGTAGGACAGCGTGGCCCTGTGTATTGTGATTTGTAGCGTACTCAGCATGCTCTTGTGTTTTGCTTGGAACGGGGCGCTAACACGCACGGAGGGGAGGCACAGCCCAGTTACAGGTCTAGCACACTCATCCTTAGGTTGGAGAAAGAAGCTTTCATAGAGGCGAGGCCATCCCCGAGTTTTGCAGTTTCGAGTCGGAGCGAGGCCCAACCATAGTAGTGTTCACGCGTGACTTGCAAAAGGCCCAGTTCCAACTCAGTAGAAAGCCCCCACAGCTGCAGACAAGACTTGAACGGCAACTGGAGCTCCTGCGGAATACCCGTGAGAGCGGCAAGGCAGCAGGGCATGAGTCGTGAACGTATCCGGCATATCCGGGGCATGTACTCTACTGTGTTGTGGTGTTGCAGTTTAAGACTCAGCCCGTGGGGAGCTCGAACACTAGTCGCACGTAAAACCGTGCATACCGTCAACAGCACAGGCTGCCCCAGCGGGGGCGTGCCCTCAAGCCTGGAGAAAGAGAGAGAGAGAGAGAGAGAGAGAGAGGGAGAGGGAGAGGGAGAGGGAGAGGGAGAGGGAGAGGGAGAGACGGAGAGAGAGAGAGAGAGAGTGTGTGTGCTTGTGTCTGCATGTACACGTCTCTGGGTAGAAACTGCATGGTGTCGCCTACATCACTATGAACAGTAGCACAAACTGCCCGACACGAACGCATATAGTGCGTCATGCGATATGTGATGAGTCCTTTGTAATGTTGCGCTGCGAGTCATTCTGGAACATGTCACGTGTACCATGTAACATGTCGCACATCGCTTCTGACATGTCGTAGGCAACGCTGTGGCCTGTCATTGCATATGTATTCGGAGCCGGCATGTTCGTAATGCAATATAACCCAGCAAATCATTCCAAAGAACATGCAATAAACGGTGCATATGCGATTTTCATTGGCTGCTGGTATGTTGTGTTCTGCTATGTTGCACTGCACCACACCAGTAGATTGGATTCGACCATCGTGCATCTTGTGACGGCAGAACGTTCTCTGTTGTGTTCTACCATAGCACGAGGCAAGCTTAGGCCGTCGTGCGCCGGACCTGTTAATGATGCTCCGTTTTGTTTGTCATGTTGCATCTTCCACAATGTATTGAGTTGTGAAATGGGATGTAGTGCATTTTACAGACGCTCAACACATGTGTATCTGAAGATCGCTCATATGTCCGCACACATACACATGCATACACGTACGTACGTACATGCATGCATACATACATGATTAAGTACATGCTGCAGCTCACCGTGCACATTTTGCGAAGTTGTATCGCTCATGCTCAGCTTTGCTGCCACGAAGCAGTCGCAAGTCGGATGGCGATTCCGAGGCCACCGTGCTCCTCTTCAGGCGCACGGGTGTGTTTCCTTTTGGGGTTAAAGTTTAGGTTGGAGAGCTTTCGGTTTGGGTTTGTCCTATGTAGTCTCGCTCGGAGTGTGGCCTGTGGGCTCCGGGTGTTAGTGGAGAAGCAACGGAGGCCTTCCTTGGCGGCCTTCAGAAGCTGTTGCTTTGAACCCCGAGAGGTCAGCACCTTTAAATTAAGGAAGATAGCTTAATTTATTTTTGTGGTTCATATTATGATTTAAGACATATTCCTTAATTAAGTGGTATTGGGCTCTCTTGGAACCCCTGGCGTTTTGCCAAGACCTCGACGGAGGCGGCGAGTGCCGTGCCGAAAGGCCATTGCCTTGACGGGGTGCCTCTGGCAGCAGCCTTGGACAGTCTGCTACCCTAAACCCTAAACCCTTAGCCCTAAACCTTGAACCCTAAACCCTAAACTCTAAGCCCCAAACCCTAAACCCTGAACCCTATATAACCCTAAACCCCTCTCTGTCTGGGCGTTTGCATAAGACATGAGAGCGAGCGAGAAGTGTGAATGTAAGGCTGGCTTCCGTTGTTGGCATGTGGGCTGGTGACCAGAGTTACGGACATTACATGATCGGCTACTACACCTACCAGGAGCTCGCAAAAGCTGGCAGCTGGGAGTGCTGTTTGTTTCTTTGTCGTACGTCACTGTCGCGGAGGACCTGGTGTCGTACACTGACGTGGATCCCGCCCACGCCAAAGGGCAGAGCTACATGGATGCTGGCGAGGCTCAGAGAGAAGCTAAGGGCGGAGCGATGCAAATCTTGGAGCTGTTTGCCCTGTGACGTGTCAGGTCTACTTCAAGGAGGGCACAGAAGTCGCGACCAGCGAGGTCTGGGCATCTTAGATCGGTTCATGCAATGCAAAGCCTTTGCCTGTCAGATGGTGTCCTTCACCAGCCGCACAAACTTTTGTGCTGCACCCATCATCGGCACGGGGCCTGTCGGGAGATCTGTGCTCCACTGCCGCATGTGGGACGCAGCGAGGCCAGCCGCTGCGCAACCAAGCAGGCCCTGATGAAGCAGGGGCCTCGAGTTTCGCCCTCTTTCGCTGATTCCCTCCCAGTTGCAGTACTTGGAAGGGCAGGGGGACTTAGTAAGTAGGTTATAAGTAGACTTATAAGTACCCTAAATGGAGTTACCCCCCAATTATAACCCTACTTTTAACCTACTTACTAAGTCCCCTAAAGCCCCTCCAAGTAACAGAAAGGGGTGATATCTGGATTTCCTTGCTGCTTCAGGTGGCAGCGGAGGGGGGCGTTGTCATCCCAGAGGCCCTGCACAGCTCTGTTTAGGGTTTAGGGTTTAGGGTTTTGGGTGAGTCTTTGTTCACCGGCCTAGGCCGGCTCCATCGATTTCTGGGCCGTGGGCACCAACTGCTGCGACAAAGCCAGCAGGACGGCCGGGAGTTCTCAGCTGCAGCCCTTCCGCTTTCTGACAGAATCTTCCTTGCAGGACATTTACATGCGGGCAGGTGCGTTGCAGCGATTGTTGAACCTTGCCATGTGCATCGGAGTTCGGCCAGACATGTGTGCAGTGACGTCAGTGGCGTCATGCCTACATCGATCTTGGTCTCATAGCTGACCGCAGATAGAGTTTGAGCTCCCTAGAGAGCTTAGGCCCTTAGCTCCAAGACCCACATTTATGATTCTTGTTATGATTACAGCTCATAGAGCTACCAGTACTTGCTTGTGAGAAGACGTAGACTTGCTTTACCGCTAGCATGTTGTGGCTCTTGGTATCTTGATGTTGTCATCCCCCCACGTCACATCTTAGGAATCGACAGACCCTTACCCATGGCCTCGGGAGCCCATGGCCACTGGGCGGCCATTGCGCCGGAAGGTTTGGGTGGGCTGTTTTGAGCCAACTGGGTCTTAAGTTCGGAGGTAGGGATGCTTTAGGGCTGGGCTCCTGGGTTAGGCTCCGGGTTGCGTGTTTGGAGGCACTACACAGAGCTTGCTTTCTGAGAAGCCGCCGCGAAATCTCAGCCCTCCCGCATCTGGGGCCGGTTCGCATGATTCTTCACGTGAAAGGTTTGCTTTGTCTCAAGACTGGTTTCGTGCCGTCTACCCTAAACCGGGACTCAAATTCCGCTACCGGAAACAGAAGAAGCTGAACTGTGAGCCCTGCGAGATCGTCGCCTCCTCTTGGGCGCTGGTGGCGTTACGGCCTCCGTGCTGGCTGCTAGGGCAGCCAGGGCTGGAAGCCCTGCGGGGGTGGGCATGACGGAGTTCAGGGTATGGGGCCTATAAGTATGAGCAGTCATATAACAAGGAAAGCGGCAGAGCAATGACCCTAGAAACCCTAAAGCTGTGAGCCCAAGATCAATAGCACTGCAACCCTAAGCATAAGGGCATGGGAACTTGGAAACTGAAGCTCATAAAGTCAAGAAGTCCGGATCGAGATCTGCTGTAACAGTAGCAGTTTAAGCCGCCACTGCACGGAGGCGGAGCCCTTTCTCGTCAGAGGGGAGCCCTTCTTTTTCGCCTGAAGCCTATAGGCTCTGAATCCTATGCTCCTCTAGGGCCCTTGAGTTCGCAAAGTCTGGAAAGCCATGCCAATGCACAAAAGCATTGCTCCAAGGTCCGGCGTTTGGGTCCTGCTGCTTCGTCCCTGGCCGCCGCATTAGGCCTTGTGATGAAGATGCTACGCTTGAGTTGTAGATAGATATGTATACGGATAGACAGTCACCGGTATACACTGACAAACAGAGCCGCAAGTAGCTAGCCAGGTAAACGAAAGATGTAGATATGGGTACAGACAGATGACGGAAAACCATATGAAAAAAGCTGATGAAGAAGACAGATATCGATAGCTACGGACATACGCACAGAGAAAGGGATAGAGAGACATACAGAGAACGATAGAACGAGGGAGGTTCTGGCCCGTAATCTATCCTGCTGCATTCAAGTTTTGTCGTCGATTCAGCACTAATTGTAAGTGTCTTTTCTGTAGTTCCCTTCGGCAGCTTCTTGACTGAACTCTGTGCGATTCCGTTCCATTCCGATTGTTGTTCACATGTTGCTCAATATCTTTTCTCGCCCAGCGCTGTCTGACACTGTTTGGCATTGCTCGGAATTATGCTCTCCTGCCTGTCTGTGGGAGAACCTGGTGCTGTGCGTGGAGAAGTCCTTCTGCGTGCTTCTTTCCTGCGAGTGCAGTTCACCGGAGGTGAGTCTCGGAATCCTTCCGTAAAGCTTCAAGAATCCTTGTAGGCAAAGCTACACAGAACCACCGAAGCCCTAAACCCTGAGCCCTAAACCCTAAACCCCGGAAAAGAGCCCATAAAAAAGAACCCTAAACCCCATGAGACTCCTGTAAGCCGTGAAGACCCGAAGACGTGAGGCGCCGCGGCCCTGGCCGGTGGGGTTGCCTCCAAGCATGGGGCGCTGGCTGAGGATCCGGTGATTGCGAGGTTTTTTCAGCACTTTGAGACTTGAGCTCTTAGATATCGAGGGGACACCTGCCTATCGCAACAAAAGCTGAGACTTAGATGAGAGAACTAGTTGTGGACCACAGTGGCACCAGCGTTAAGCATCTCTTCCGAACCGTCTTTTCTGAAGTCTGGTCGCTGCTCCTCTGAGGCTCAAGTGGCAAGGCTGGCACCAGTCCGCCCTCACCGTCAAACAGCGTTGGCGTGAAGCCTTTCCAAGTCAAAGTTCGGTTTGATGCCCGGTTTGACGTACCTGCAAGTGAGTGAAGGTTTTTCTTGCGGTTTGATGCATATCGTAGCTCGTCCTGAATCCTCCCCCTTCCGAAGCTCCGATGAGGACCTAAGCTAGCAGACAGCATGGAGTGTTGCCGGTCTTGGATGTGGCTGTAGCCGATTGAGTCTTGCTGTGCAGCCATGTGCTCCTTCCTCGTCAGCAGCTGGCTCCTGTCGAATCTGACCTATGTGAACTTCTTCATGCGGCCAAGAGGGCCCGACCTCACGACCAGAGCTGAACTCCACAACTTCACTTTCGTCCACAACTTACTTCATATGACCGGCAACCCGTCCTTCACAGAGTGCCGGGAGAGAGCGAAAGTTCGGGGCTCTTCACAATTTCTGGTGTTTTCATGCTCTCTCCCTGGTTCAGAGGTGAGCGCGTTCCGCAGCCCTTCGTCAGCAGCGAGGGCGATGTGGTAGCGCTCTACAACGGTGAGATCTACAACTTCCGAGACCTGGTGCCAACTGCTCGCAGTGATGGGGAGGTACTGCTGCCCCTCTACGCAGAGAAGGGCAGTGCCTTCGTCCGGTCCTTGGATGGTGAGTTTGCCCTGGCAGTGCTGGACTTCCGGCTGGGCCGTGCTGTGTTATCCACGGACATCTTCTCCACGAAGCCACTCTGGTACTCCACCTACAGGGGACTCCATTTTGCCAGCTACCGCAGTGCGCTACTGCGGCTAGGCCTTCCCCAAGGAGATCCGAGATCTGAGATCTGGCCTTCTGGCCTTGCATTCCTCCCGCCTTGCCCCAAATCCGTAAACCCCTAAACCCCTAAAGCCCTCAACCCCTAAACCCCTAAGCCCCTAAACCCCTAAACCCTCAAGCCCTTGCGAGGAGAGGTGGTCATGGTGGACCCGAATTCCATCTTGGTCTTCGACCTGAAGTCCCCGAACAAGCCCTTGATTCAGAGGCAGGCGCTGCACGAGTTCGACCTGAGGCAGTTCAAGCAGGCCATTGCATGATATATAGTATATATCAGGATATTGGTACACATGTCAGTATATAATATTTTGTAGTAATACATAATAATCATACAATATATATATATATATATATATATATATAGATATATATACATATTAAAACATACAAGATATAAGATACAGCATATAACATATAACGTACAACATATACTAGATAACACAAAATATACAGTATATGTATGTATATATATATATATATACATACATATATATATATATATATATATATATACATACTGTTATGTGAAGGGAAGTTGCCGTTGTCCGACTCCGGAGAAGTACTGGTAGCTTGTGCTCCGTGAGAAGGACTCCAGGGACTTCCAGATAGCTTTCGAGAAAGCAGTGCGCAAGCGTGTGCAATATGCCATCCATCCGATGCAGCTCATCTGGACTTGCCAGATTGTGTGCTGTGTGCTGTGTGTGCGTGGTCGCTTAAAAGTTGCAGAGTTGGAGTGGAAAGAGTGCATTCAGATTTGTCTGTGCCAGTCTCACGTAGCATGAGGTTCATTGGTCTGTCCTCCGGCTACGACAGTGGGGCCATCCATGTCGCTCTCGTCAACGACCAGATTGGACACTTTGCCTACACAGTCTACTCGACTGAGGATATGGACATTCTGAAAGAACGCATCGGTTGGGCTGGAAACTGGACCGAGACCAACGTAATCGAATCTTGACTGCAGCAAGTTGCAATGAATATTACCACTTGTATGTTGAAACAGGTATGTTGTATCGACGTACATGTACACGCGTATATGCACATACAGATATCCACTCGCTATACATACACACATATATATACACATACATATTCATAAGGACAGGTATATAGATACACGTCTCCGTAGCTGCCATCGGTTGCATTCCGCAGGTTCTGAGCGGCAACGACCTGGAAGCAGAAGCCTGGTCCTCAGAGGGCTTTTTCCTGCACTCCAGCTACCCTAGACTATAAACCCTCAACCCTAAACCCTCCGACGAAGTACCGAAGTCAGTGAAAGAAAGGGTTCAAGCGTACTGATGCAATTATCCGCTGATCGGTTGCCCAGGTCTCTTCGGCTTTTATGGGGACACCCGATTGTTGTAGGTGCATAGTACCGATGATGCCAATTCCTTGTAGAGAAGAAGGAGGAACGAGAATTGAGGCCAACCGCCTGGCATGGCAATGCGAGCCATTCCACTACAGGCCTCCGATTGGGTTGGACAGGGGTACTGCGATTTGGAGGGTCTGAACCATGTGAACTATTGTTTTCGGTGATCGAAGAGGAGCATGGGAGAAGCAGGGTGCTGGTGCTGATCGGAAGCCAGCCACAACTACTCAGCTGCAACTACAACCAACTACAGCTACAGCAACAACTATGTCTCCTCCCGCTACCGCTGCCGCTACCGCGACTCCTGCTGCTACTGCCACTGCGACTGCCGCTGCCACTGCCACTGCCGCTGCTGCTGCTGCTGCTGCTGCTGCCATGCTATGACATGCTCCTGCTGCTGCTGCTGCTGCTGCTGCCATGCTATGTCGAACACTACCAGCAGTGCTGCCGTTGCAGGTTCCATGACGCTATGGTTAAAGTCTTGGCTCAAGCAGCGTCCCATCTCATAAAGATGACCAGAGATGCCGGCTTGACTTCGAGGGCCAGTCTCCTCTGTGAATGGCATCCCTCCTTCCGGTTCACGTGGCGACCGTCGAGAATGCGGGATGATTCAAGTGTCTGATGTTGCGTGAGACCTGGCGTTTTGCACCATCTCCTCCAGTGTCTGGCAGAGCTCAGAGAGGACCAGAGCTTGCTTTGAGTGACTACTTGGAGGATCAGGGGACTTACTAAATAGGGTTATAAGTACCCTAATTGGGGTTATAAGTAATTATAAGTATAGTTACCTTATTAATAAGCCCAGTTACTAAGTCCCCTGATCCTTTAAGTAGCTGGGAAGCTCGGGATCTCTCACGTGTGCCGGCCTGAGAGGTATCGGTGAGTAGAGGGCCTCTACCACGCAGAGCAGCACCCTAAACCCTGAACCCTAGAACCCGCGGTGCAAAGTGCCTTAGTAAAAGGAGCCTCGCTTCTCTATCTCCGAAGAGAGGACCCTTTTTGGCTTGAAGATCGCAAAAACAACGCTACCAATAACATATACTGTTGCGAATCATTAGACTATCATGGGCGGTGATCAGAGCCATCGTGACTGTTTTTGCTTGTTCTGCATTTCCTCGGCTCTTCTTGTTTCGCGCCATGGCGATGCTCGCAGCATCTGCCCGTTCCGATGCCGCGGACTTAGCAAGGGCCCAGGCTGCTGAAACACTAATGAAAGTAGTCATTGTTGTTGTCGCCACCGACATCGTACTCGTACTAGTACTTGAAGGTGTAGTCGTTTTGTTTTTTTGCAGTGGTCGTCGTCGTGCCTTTTGCTATGCGGTAGACAACGCAGCTCCCATACGGACGAGCGTAAAAAATACATGGATCATGATCGTAGCGATGAAATAGCAGGCATAGGCAACGGTAACAGTACTGAAATCCAAGGCACGAAAGGGAAAGGCCGACATGTCTTGATGACCACGCAGTATTTGCGTGTCAGATCCACAGTACCGGCTTATTGTCGAACATGAAGCCGCTCTCTGTCGATTCCTTCCCTTCTTTCGGCGGTCACTGCATATCGGCAGATCCCAAGCCACACTCCTCTTATTCTTTTTGCGGGCTTTGGTTAGGGGGGGGCCCTGTCTGTCTCTCTTCCTTCGGCCTGCTTGCCAAATGTCAGACGATCAGGGGCTCATGAGTCGTTGGCGGTGTATTCGAGCAAGTTTCGTACAGAACCGCCGCGATCAGCATAGCCAGCCACACCCGGATCCTTTGTCCAATTCTGAGCCATGTAGCACGCGTTCACTAGTCTGCCGTATCTATGTCGAGCCCGAAGCTAATCTATAACCCTAAACCCTAAATCCTAAATTCAAGAGCCTCCGGCTCAAGCCGCCGACCCCGTGGGCGACAGACCAGAAGCCGAATGCACTTGTACAGGCAAAGTCGTTTGGTGTCCGCGAGGCCCGTAGGTTTAGTTCTAGAAGGAGACGCCAAGATGGGAAGTGCAAACAAAGCCTTACCGCAGGCGCGACGATCACGCGAAGTAGGAACAAGGAGCACTTTGGATGCCGAGGTTGAAGAGGAAGAAGGGGGCAAGGCGGGTGGGGGGGGAAAGGGGGCGGAAGGGGGAGGGGGGGAGGGGGGGAGGCGGGGGGGGAGGGGGAGCGCGGGGAGGGGGCAGGAGAGGGGGAGGCGGTTGATTTGAACCCAATGGGCTGTGGTGTGATGCTTTTGGGGGCTTGGGTGCTGCTTGCAAACAGCCATATGGGGTACCCCCCCCCCCCTAGGTGCGCCCGGTTTGCGAGGAGGGAAAAAGGGAGGTTAACACCTCCAAGCCCATCGAAACCCATCCAACACGCCGCCAGGGTCGGCGGACCCTAAACCCTAAACCCTAAATCCTAAACCCTAAACCCAAAACCCTAAATCCTAAACCCTAAACCCAAAACCTTAAACCCAAAGCCTGTGAGTGGATCCATCTTCGCAAGACTGGGCAAGGTACAGACCGGCAGCTTCGGCAGACGAGCCGTGTTGCTGCAGCTCGGCATCTTAGGCAACAGAGCCCCAAGTCCTCTGCCTTACCTTTGGTTAGTAGGGAATGGAAGAGTGGTAGTAATAGTAGTTTCAATTGCACCCCATTCCTCCAT